CCCTTTGAAACTCCTTGAAGACAATATTTCCTGATTTTTATCGAAAGTCTTCTTAGGTGATTTTGGTCATTTAAGATGTAATTAACTATAGGGGCTTGCTCTTACAGGAAGCATGTCCGAACCCAGCTTAATATAAACCCTATTTAATTCTTCATATTAAATAGGAGAAATTATCGGCAAATACAAAGGTTTTGCAGACCAAACGAATGTCATATATTCCTTAGTTTATTTGATCGAACATCATCCTCAAGTCTTGTGTTTATCCTTCAGGATATATACAAGATTTGAGGTACATCGCTCTGTCATTTAAACTATGAAAAATATGGGGTCAGTTTGATTTCATATTTTTTTAAAACTAAATATATATGTAAATTAAAACGTCCTTCCTAAGCGGGCAACGAGATTTTGATTCCGATGACCGACAGCTTCTTACGGGCAACTCCTCCAACCAAAAATAGTGCTGACAGAAGGTTGACTAAATATAACCAAACTCTTTCAAGAAAGAACTGATAGAGTGTACGATAAAACTCAAATGAAAAAATAATTGAGATCAACTTAGAAAGGATTAGAAGTTTTGGAAGGTGCTCAAGAGAGGAGCCACTGGTTTAGAAAGAGACCCCATTAAAAAAATAGTTGATGCACCTGAGGAGTGGCGGTAAAAAAAGACTTTAGTAAGTAAAACATCTTACATTCAATATTTCTTAATATAAAATTTTGCATCTTAAGAGATTAATTTATCAATTGTAGGTTTTACTAAGTTTAAATAAATTTAGACTTACCGGCAATAAGCCAGAGCTGGAGGAGAAGCTAGATATTATGTTCCTTGGTACTGTAGCAACAGGGGTCAATATCTGGGCCACAACAAAAGAGCCAGCTCTTAAATTGGATGAACTTGAATGTGCTTATTCAAATGAGGTCTACAAGAAACAACCGAAAGAAAGGGGGCAAGGGGAGTCCAGTCACTCCAAGCAACTTGCACCCTTGCCATAAAAAAAGTGGAAATAAGTAAAGTTGGGGCAGTTCATCTATCTCAGAAGTTTCAGAGCTGGTTACAAACTTCACCAATATTACTTCGAGTGCTCGCATTGACTCTCCACACATACCCAATAATGACAGATGTTGTTAAGTTATTGGACTCAATTCTAGATATTTTTGAGGACACACTCTTATACTTATTTTCCGTAAAACTTCTAGAGGATCAAAACAAGATAGAGGCTTTCTACATCCTGCTCCATGAACGAAGGAGTTCTTAGCTCCATTATTTTTAGATAGTCCGACTAGCTAGATATATGCACATTTTTTTATTAGCTGTTGGTACTATGACAAAGTGATTATTTGTAGTATTTGTCATTTATGTTGTAAACTATGACTTGTGTTTCTAACATTTGATTATTTTTGGATTTATGTTATTTTAAGACTTTCATTGTGCACATTTTGAGCATTTACCTATATTGAGAATAACATGTTCTTTAAAAAAAAACTTAACATTATTCCTTCACACAAATGGAGCTACCAAATGAAGAGGAGGTTATAAAGCTAGTTGAGCAAGCTACCGTCATTACTATCATAGCTTGTCTAAGTCATGAGTACTTCCAAAGACACATTTGTGAGACACCTTGTGCCTCATCGTCACATGTGGGTGACAAATGGGTAGTGAACTAATGGAAGCTCATCCAAGTCGGATTCATAAGATGTTTCAGATGTCAAAAGCTATGTTCTGTAATTTATTAAATGAGTTGCAATCCAAATATTATTTGCATGGATCTTTGTGATTTACATCTCGAGAAGTCTTAGCTATCACACTCTTCATTATGTTGCACAATGAGTGCATTTGTGAAGCTTCTGAGCATTTCAAGCACTCTACATGGTTGATCAATAGTCATTTCCATGTTGCGGCTAACTCTCTAGTTAAAATGGCTATGGACATCGTCAAACCATTGAACCCATCTTTTGCTCAAGCACCTCGAGAAATTCGTAGTGATTCGAGGTATATGCCGTTTTTCAATGTATTGATCTCACTCTTTATTCATCCTTCAATTAATTAATGGAAAGTTACAAATAACTTAAATTGTGTCTTTATTTATAATAAGTATTGCGTAGAAGCAATTGATGGAACACATGTTGACGCATGAGTGTGGAATGAGAAAAAGATAACATATTGGTAGGTGTGGAGCTATTACAAAGAATATGTTAGCACTATGTAATTTTTTACATTCGTGATGACTGATTGAGAAGAGAGTTCACACGACACCAAAATATTTAAATTTATAACCCAACGACCCAAAAAAAAATTCCCGATGCCTCCCTAAGGTTGGCGTCTTTTACTAATCTGTCACTATTATATTCATGTTTTAACTTATATAATAATGTATCATTATTTAGAAAAATATTATCTTGTTGATTCGGGATATCCACTATAGCTGGGTTTTTTGAAACCATTTCCATGAGATATCACCTCTGATTTCAAGTGCGACAACTAAGTGATTAGAGGGAGGAATGAGCTGTTCAACAAAAGACACTTATCATTACACAGTGTTATCGAGCGAGCATTCAGTGTATAGAAGAAAAAGTGGCTCATACTTTGAGATATGCCTACATATTATTTCAAAAAAAAAATATGTCAAGATAGTTGTTGCAACAACTGTGCTCCATAATTTACATGTCAAGATAGTTATTGCAACAACTGTGCTCCATAATTTAATACGGAGGCATCCTTCCGAAGATAATATCTATTTCAAGGTCTTAGATGATGATCCTACCTATATGCCTAAGGAAGCTAACCAACATCAAGCCGGTCCTTCAGTGCAAGAAAAGAAATGTAGAACGAATGAGTATAACACTTATGAGGAAGGTGTCGAGGAGATGCTAAAGTTGAGAGAGGAGATTACTGATGCTTTGGTGAATGCAACTACCTTATTCATGTAGCTTCACTAATTATTTGTAGTTGATGATTTATATTTCATGTTCATGTATTTCTCTAGATGTATTTTTTCAAAATATTATAACAAATTGTGCTGTACCTTCCTTTTTTTGCAATTGTAAACTGTAATTCTTAATTTGAAAATTACTTATATATTTTTTAGAATTTTTCGAATAATGTATCAAACTAATGTTTTTTTAATTAGAGCAATACAATATTATTATAACAGGAAATATGAGCTCAAGATCATCAAACAATTCAAAAATTCCACTATGTTATTGTGGCGATAAGTGTGTTTAGGACCAGTTAAGATAGAAAAGTTGCTACTACATAATATTTTATTTTTGACCCAGAACATGACTCTTGTATATTGTAACTACTTCCGGTGGGTTGATGACATCGATGAGGAACCTCTAGACTGTGATCAGTCGAAGAGAGATGCACAGATGGAGAGAAGATTGTAACGAATACTTAATCATCAATATTTTAAGTCAAATATTATTCTAGGCTTGCTAACCGTTGTTGTTGTTCTAGTTATTGTAGTCATTTGCTTCAAACAACTAATTCTTTTTTTATGTATTAGAGTACTTGACATTGGTCTGTCAGTTTTTTAGCACTATGAACTCTTTATGTTATTTAATTCTAAATATTCTGAAAATTGCACTTATTTCAATATATTATATATATAACAACAAAACAATCATTTTCAGCAGAAACAGCAGTATCACAATAGATCTCTCAAACAGACACCTGATTCTTCATCAGCAATATTTTGACAACTCTTGAAAAAGCTATGATTTTACTGCTCGTCCAATCGCACATAAAATCACTACCGGGAAAATACATGTTTGCTGATCTTCTGTTTTTGGTGCGCTTTTAAATACTTGAGAGGAAAGTTCCACAATGGAGATGCGTGTTGCCGCAACGGAGCGCTGAATGAGCTGTGCTGAAGGACGATTTGCCCTCAAAGAGGAAGAAATATTACATCAGTACTACGCACGTAAAAATCACGTGCGTCGACACTTCAATATTTTAAGTCAAATATTATTCTAGGCTTGCTAACCGTTGTTGTTGTTCTAGTTATTGTAGTCATTTGCTTCAAACAACTAATTCTTTTTTTATGTATTAGAGTACTTGACATTGGTCTGTCAGTTTTTTAGCACTATGAACTCTTTATGTTATTTAATTCTAAATATTCTGAAAATTGCACTTATTTCAATATATTATATATATAACAACAAAACAATCATTTTCAGCAGAAACAGCAGTATCACAATAGATCTCTCAAACAGACACCTGATTCTTCATCAGCAATATTTTGACAACTCTTGAAAAAGCTATGATTTTACTGCTCGTTCAATCGCACATAAAATCACTACCGGGAAAATACATGTTTGCTGATCTTCTGTTTTTGGTGTGCTTTTAAATGCTTGAGAGGAAAGTTCAACAATGGAGATGCGTGTTGCCGCAACGGAGCGTCTGAATGAGCTATGCTGAAGGGCGATTTGCCCTCAAAGAGAGCCCAACTTAACATAAAAGCACCCCAACCATTTCAGGAGAGGTTCTTTAAGAGGAGAGCACAATCCCCTGCCAAAACCTCACCTAGCTAAAAGAATAATAATAAAAAATCGAGAAAAGGGCAAAATTTGTCCCGTTCCATCGGATCCGAAATTTCGGCAGAGAGAAAAAAAAAAAATCGTGCGGGATATCGTGGCGTGATTTCATTGGGTGCGCACGTTCCTCTACGTAAAATAAAAAAAAAAAAAAAAAAAAAAAAAAAAAAAAAAAAAAAAAAAAAAAGAAGGGAAAAAAAAAAAAAAAAAAAAAAAAGAGAAAAAGTTAAGAAAAAGAACGCCGAAACGAACCCTAACCCTAAGCCAAGATTCACCGGTCACCGCCACCACACTACGCCGAGGGGGAGGAGAAGATCTTGGTCAGTCCACTCTTTCTTCTCTACTCGATTTCTCTCATGGGGACTCGCTACTTATCGCGGTGATGATAGGTGACCGATCCAAGCGGCGGACGACGAGCGGAGGAGC